TGGCATCTTTTAATGTGATATCTCATAATGTCTGGAATGCAGTATTTGAATTAACATTTCCCCTTTTGTACTTGGGAGAAAGCAGCAGGTGGGGCAAACACCTGTAGGGTAAACAAGTTTGTGGGCAAGGTCGTCTTTCTGTTATGAGTTGTGATCTAGAAAAATGTACAGCCTTACTTAGAGGAATTGAGGTATATAACTGCCTGAGAGGTTTTGAGAAATTTTGTAATGTAAAATTTTGGGTTGAGTGCCTGGCCTAAAGCATTTGGGTGTTGTGAATGGCTTAAGAGTGTGTGCGTGTGGAAACTACAATTTGGGTTGTCTTTCTGTTTCTTTTATTGCCAAAACCTAGAAGCTTTCATGCACGAGTTACATAAAACATAATTTCAGATTCCTTTTTATTACAGGCATTAGAAGTCTTTTATGAAAGGGAAGATTTTTGTGTGATTTCACTTGAATTGAAGGTTTAAGAAAAAAATCATGCCAAATATCCCAAGATTCACAAATGTTAGTCCATAGCCTTTCTCTGGAGATCAGTCAATGTGATATTTCTATCAGTCTCCATTTAATCAGCCTGATATAGATCTTTCAGTCTTATTTGAAACTTAGGTCTGAAAACTTTATTGGCAAACGAAAACTTCCCATTGAACTTGCAGTGGCACTAAGCTGTTGAGACGTCTCAGGTTTTTTCTGGCATGTATAAGGACTTTTAAGAGAAAAAATTGTCAAAAAACAAATCTAAAGAATTGAGCTTGGGGTGGTGGTAATGCTTTGGAGGAAGGCATTCATTATTTTTTATTATTTTTTTTTTAAATTAATTAGCTTTAAGTCTTGCAACAGGTGCTATACTCTAAGCCAGCAGTTTTTACCATCTGTGCTTGGAATCAGTGCTAAGTCTTTTGCAGAAAGCCAGCATTGCAGTACCTGGTATCAGCAGGTCTCCTGAGCTTGGCCCAGTACACTCCACACAGAAGGAGATTTCTTCTTGTTTATGCAGGCTAAAAACTGCTCTAGTTTGTTTGTGACTGGCATGGTTCCCGTGACTAAAGGCTTGTTATCATAGTGAAATGTAGTACAATTTGCACCGTATGGGTGATACACATTAAAAGGGAGAGGGAGGGGAGCCCAACTATTATTGCTGTTGTTTTTTCAACTGCTTATCCAGTGAGATCAGGGGCCAGTTTTTCAGGTACTCAGGCATGCCTTAACTGAAGCTTTATGTTGTTTGCTCTGCAAAGGAATGTGAAGGGTCTCAGCTGCACTACTCGGGACTGGGGAAGCTTTTAATCATAACCTGGGGTGGGAGCAAAACCAACTAATGTGATACCATGTAAATCTGAATGCAGGATGTGTGCAAGTGGGTCAGTAGAACAGAGTTCATGTAGGATTCTCCTCTGAAGAGCTGGGAGGAGAATGTGCTCCAGTTAAGCCAGATGTAGTAAGTATGTTAAACTTGGCAAAACGCAGCTTTGAGAACTGTGGAACCGTATTGTGTGACCTCTACCAGGAAAAAAAAAATGGTTAAGAGCCTGCCGGGATAGGTGGTATCTTGCACCTGATGGTGCAACCTGAGTTGCAGAACTGCTCTACAGAATGGTGGTACCCGGGAAGTTTAGCAGCAGTGCATCTTGCTGTAAGCTCCCACAGCCTGTGCAAACTGTTGTACGTTTGGGGAGGAATGAAGCTCATCTTCCACTGGTTTTATTAATTTGTTCTGTGAGACATTGAAGAAGGCTGCAGCTTGTTTTGTAAATGCTGTCCAACTATTTCTTTTAGATTTATAAGTGCATCTAATTAGACAACACTTCTTTCCTCAGCCTTCTTTAAACACAAAGACATGGTAAGATACCATTCCTACAACAGCTTTCTTAAGACTTGATTGACCTGAGGCAAGAAACTTGCCTGATTTGCATGAAAAAAATCCTTCAGAGCTGTTCAGGTTTTGTGGTTGCAACATAAGCTTCTGTGCCTGTTGGCAGTAGTGCACATGCCATCCAGTCAGCATCCACGGCTTTGGATTAGCACTGGGTGAACCAGGTGGTGTGAAAAGTTTCCCTGTGATAGTCAAAATGGATATCCATGCCTGTTCATAAGCTGAACAGGTATGGTTGTTGTGTTGTAGATCCTCAATAAATTTAGGATTGTTGTGTTTGTTGGTAGCCCTATAGTAAGCACTTTTTTTACTTCTGCCTAATTATAAAACTGTCATTTTCTCAATATAAGTAAAGTTACAGATGGCAGGTTGTTTGAGATATTGTGTCAACCTCATGGAACAAAGTCACAATGAGAATCATGGAGAAGATAAATATGGCAGCCAAACATAACCACATGAGAAGGTGGTTGGGCATTGGGGTTGTTGGGGGGATAATCATTAACCTGGCTGCAGCGGCCTTCCATGTCTGTAAGAAATGCTGTTACCTGTAGAGGTGACGTTTCCCTTTGAGTGTTGCCCGTGCCAATACCTTGTTTTAATCTCCTGGTTGAACTCCGTGGCCAGAGGAGCAAGCGCAATGACTCGTTGCATGATTTTAGTGCTCATTGGATCAGATGATGTCAGCATCCTGGCTGCCAGATGGTAGCGTCAGCCTGCAAGGGCCTAAGGCAGACACAGACAAACCCGAAGGACTGTGATGGTAGCTGCCTAATGAAGAGACCTGTCCAAGAACAACATCTGCTTCTCTTCTGTCTCTCACTGGGTTTGTCACTAGGGATGCTTCTGAGGCTTACATTAAATCCAAGCTATTTATTTCTTTTTCCATGGCTTCATTACCTCTGTGGTGCCGTAACCCTGAGGCACTAAGACTCTACTCTAGACACAGCTGACTCCCCCCGCTGCCCCTTTATTCCTCAGGGTTTTTTGAAGAAGAGGTTTCTGTCTTTGACATCTGGGATGGCCTTGTAAGTGAACCACGGCCTATAAAACAGAGGCAAAAGAGTACTTTAAATTATTGCTTGTAAATGCAGTTTCATTTGGATAAAGCAGTGAGGTTCATGTTACCGTGTGACTTCTAATTCCACATACTCAAGATGGGTACATAGATATTGTTTCACATTTATTCTGTATGTTCTGTAGGACAATGGTTTGACCTACATGGGATCATATTCCTGACATAATTGTACACTGTTCGTAGTAAAATGTTGTGAGTAAAAGTTACAACTTAATTTACAAGATAGAAATGTATTGCAGCCTATGGCAACTATAGATACCCTGACTTTCCTTCCCAGAGCAGGGGCTGGTACAAAGGAAAGGGAAGTGACTCAAATGGTTCCCTTCCTCTTGGCTTCAAGGTAAGTAGTCAGAACAACCAGCAGTTCTGACTCCATCCAGCAGCTTCAAAAGTTCAAAAGATTTACTGTAAGAAACTTGACTTTGCAAACCTGGTGCCTGACCTTCCCATGAGCAGTGTTCATGTGTTTTGGGCGAGAGTATTTTGGTCAAGAGCCTGTTATAGAATTGCCGTTTGAGGGTATTCTGAGGAGATAATCTCTTAAACCTCTTGCTTTTAGTTCTGAGTAGCATCTGAGCATTTATGAGCAATACACATTGTTGTTACAAATGGAAGACAAAATCCTGCAGAAAGAGGCATTGCACCCATTTGAGAACACGCTCCCTAAGTCTTGAACTGGAGCGTACAAATTCCTCTAACACATTCCCAGCCTCCTCCCATCTCGCTGCAGCAACATGTTACATTTGGCAGCGTTCTGACGGCTTCCTCGGGGGTTTTCCTCCCGGGCTAGTGATGACTGCTGCTTTTCTGATCCCCTGAAAGGGGAAAAGAGTCTTTGAAGACTTGGAGTGGGAAGACAGGTGTGGAGGGCAAGGCACGCAGTTTGGCAGGAGTGGAGTAGGGTCCAAAAGTTCAACAGCTTGTCCTGATGGGACGGTTCTTTTGTTCAGTTTGGTTGGTGACTTGCCAAAAATGGTGTCCTAGAAATGTGCTAATAAGTAAACCAGCACAGCAAGCTCGTGAGTTTTAGCCCAAGCCCTTGGGTTTTTTCCCTTTAAGTCTTCTGTTCCTGGAGTTCAGACAATCTTTCTTTAGATAGACCAAATCCACCTTCTAGCCCTTGTGAAGAGAGTTCATGGACTGTGATCCAAGTCTACACTGGCAGATGAACACTGCGGATGCATCTTGGGCTGCCTCACTCTGTACATGGCTTTGCTGTGAATCAGGACTGCAAGCAGCAGTGGATTTTCCTTCTGAGACATCTGGCTCTTGTCTATCTGTGTATGATAGCCATAAAGACAGATTTCTTGCATGCTCTTGAATATAATGTCAATATTGTGACTACGCTTTTTTCCTTCTAGTTGAAATGAATGTGATAAGTGTTCCTTATTATTGTTTTTTATTTTTTTCCTTCCCTCTCCTCCAAATTGTTCTGCTGACTTAAAGGGCAACTTAAAACGCACTTACTTTAAAATGCTGTAATTTGAATGACACTCGATTTTGTGTTTTAGGGTGTGAGTCGTCATATTGGAAAGGAATATGTTTTCATGGCCACCTTGTTCAAGAGGCCTGTAAAACAGGTTTGACTCAAAGTGACCATTTGAACTTCACAAAGTAGTTTAATCACACTGAAAAACTTGTTTCTTTTAATTAAAAATGCATACATAATCTACTTCCCTGATCCCTGATATTACAGCTTGTTCTTCCTTGTCTCTCTTTTAGGGGATGTTTTGTTTGTTCTTGAACACTGGGTATGCTGGGTCACTGAACTGTTACTCCAGGAAGCAGAGCAGAGAGGACAAGCTGAGAAGGCATCATTATGATGGCAA